AATAGTTATTATTATAATATATATAATATAATATTTTAAATAGTTATTATTATACTTTTTTCGATATAATAGCAATATCTTTTTCTAAGAAATAACAAGCTGTATTAATTAGTCCAATAAAAATTATACAATCTATTAAAAAAAATTAATGTTGACCTTCATGTAATTCTTGAATTATTCAAAACATATAAAAATATATACGAAAGATCGGTTCTAGGAATCAAAATAAACATAATTGATATAAAATGTTGATTGAGGCCAATTTATTAATAATTGAAGTTTACATAGATAAAAAAAGATAGAATTAGAATGAGATTTTATTTCCATCATATAGCAGTCTCGATCTGTTTCTATCTCTTTTTATTTAATGAAAATTTAAATTGCTCATAACTTAATAAACTTCAATATTTTTGTATACTATTTTTTATATCGTTTTGATTTCTAAAATTGATTTTCTAGAAATTAAATTGTCTAGGATGTTTCTCAGGAATACATGTATATATGTATATATATTATTTATTATCTTTATAAGATTTTAGAAATTGAAAAAATTCATTTCTTTGATTAAAATTTCAAATAAAAAGAATTCTGTTAAAATTTTAAAAATATTTATTGATATTCTTATTTAATATACATACATTTATTACTTTTATTATAAATTTTTCATATTTTACATTAAATAAAAATAAATATAAATTATAATTAATACAAACTTAATAAATTTATAATCATAATAAAAAATATAGTTTTTATATAAAATTTATTTGATTTTTAAATTAACGTAATTTTCTTTATCAATTCTATCAATATATATTTATTGTAATTAAATTTAAATTTACTTAATTTATAAAATTATTTTAAATTTATTAAATTAATAAAAAAACAAATTTTGTATTGTTATAGATATTATATATATTATAAAACATAATTCTTAGATATAATTCTTAATTATAACAAAAACATAATTCTTAAAATTTTTCAATTTTTGATATTTTAAAAATTTTTTAAAAATTTAATCAACATTTCCTTTTTTATTTGAAATTTTAGTTTTCTGGATGATTTAGACCGATTAGGAGCAAGGGATTATCAACCTACGGAGCAAGATATTTTAAGAACTCGTGTCAAAACAACGGGCATAGTGGAAGTCCATTTTTCCTTCAAGAATCTTAATTTCAAGTAAGTAATAAAAAAAAAATATTTCATATATGTACATAAGATAAATAAAAATAATATTTAATAGATTTATAAATTTTTAAAATATTAAATTTATAAAATTTTAAAATATTATTATATTTTAGAATTTTAAAATTGCTACAAATTTTTATTTTTAAAAAATGGATTATGATGATTATTTTTTTATATTTTTCAATATCTACTAATTTTAAAATATTTTAAATGAAATCTTGTTTGCTAAATTATTTAAAATAAATAATAAATATAAAAAATATATAAATTATATATAAAATTAAAATATATAATAAAAAACACGATAAATAATACATATTTTTATATTATGATATATATTTTTAATTATTTACTTTCATATATGGAACTATTGTTATATATTTTCTTTTTTTATATTCCAATTTTCTTTGAATTTATTTATAAATACCATGATGTTATGAAAAAAAATATTTTAATTTCTGTTATACACATATAATACATTTTATATAATTACACAAATAATAAATCAATTATATAGGAATAGAATTTTAGAAATAATTATAGCTTTTATAACTTAATTCTAAATTTATTTTAAAATTTATTTTAAATCATAAAATTGTATTTTTATTTAAAAATTACAATATATTCAATTTTATATATAGAATGGATAATCTATTTTAAAAGATTTAATTGTAAAACAAAAAACTGTTTAAAAAATGATTTTAAGGTATTTTAATAATAAAAATTTTAGTAATAAAAATTGAAATTATTTATATCAATGATTTATGATAATCAATGATAATATAATGATTTTAATAATAAAATAAAGAAATTAAATAAAGAAGGACAATAAAGAACAAAGAAAGAGCAACGACTTATGAATGATTAAGCATGAATCACTAATTTGATAATTTAAGAAATTGAGAAACATTCTTCTTTAAATTCTTGTTCTATTAAGAAATATTTGTACACATTATATCATGCAAAAAGAATTTACATAAATATTAAATTTAATTTATATGTACATGTGTAATATTATTAACATTATGTTTATTTTATATTATTTATATATTATATTTNGATAAAGCATACATTTGTGATTAAAATTTATAATATATAATCTCTTAAATACAAAAATAATATATGAAAATTCATTTTATACAACATAATCAATTAAGTAACTAAAATATAATAATTTGAGTTATCAATTAATAATTAGTAAAGATAAATATTTAAAATAATTTTATAAATTTAATGTATTGGAATAATTATTTCAAAAGTCAGAACAATTTAAAATAATAATAACAATATAGAAATTAATTATTTAATTATTCTATAAATTTTGAATCTTTATTTATTATTATAATAATTTTTTTCAGATTATTTGATGTAGGTGGTCAAAGAAGTGAACGTAAGAAATGGATCCATTGTTTTGAAGATGTCACTGCGATCATATTTTGTGTCGCGATGTCTGAATATGACCAGGTTTTACATGAAGATGAAACGACGGTAAGAATTGAAATTCTCAAAACTTCGTTTTTAATAATAAAGAATTAATAATAATAATAATTTTTATATATTTTGTTGTTTTATAGAAATTTTAAAGAAATTTTATTATTATAATATTGATAATAAAAAGTAGAAAATCAATGATGAATATTAGTGAGCAGAAATAAGAAATAAATGATTAGAAAATAAAAAATTAATAATAATAATTTAATTTTTAATAATAATAATTAAAATTAAAAAAAAATTATTAAAAAAAATAACATTAATAAAATAAATTTAACTTTTTTATAACCAAATTTTTATATCTTAACATTCTTATCTTACATTCAACAAATAATTTTTAATATTTTAAGAAATATTTTATTAAGAAATTTTTATAATATGGAAATTGATATAATATCATATCAATAAAAATCTTTTTATATTATAATCAAAAATATTATTAAAAATATTAATAAATAATGTGTATTAAATTTTAAAAATATATTTTAGCAATAAATAGACATAATTGGAATAAAAATAAATCAAATAATATAATAACATTAAATATACTTCAAATATAATACAATATAATAATAAATTATAAAAATATTTTTTGAGGTAATTATTGTTGCAAATTTTAAGTTAAACTATAGTTAAACTATAGTTAAACTATAGTTAAATTTGATCATATATAAGAAAATAGTTCATTGCAATTTATATATTATAAATTATAATATTTTTAATTAATATGCATATCTCATATTTATTTATATAAATATATATTTTTATAGTCTTTTTTTTTAATTTTATATATATATAATATTTTTTATTATTCTTTTTTTTTATTTATTATATTTTTTTTATAATGCATGATAATTATAATAAAAAAGAATATATCTTGTTGGTTTTATTGATTTTAAGATATCATTTAATATCATAATATCATCATTTTGCTATATTTATAATATATATATTTATACAGATGTTCACAAATATTTCACGATTCAAAATAATAAGAATTATTTTTTTCAAAAATTGGTTAATCATATATACTATTTTCTAAAATTGTTTTATATTGCCAGACAAAATGATAGCATATCTTGTCATTTCAATTCATTTTTTTCAAAATAATGCAATTTATCTAAATTATTTATACACATTTATATAAAGTATTTTTTGTTAATAATAATAGAAAAAAATCAATTTTAATTAATATTTTTTTTTCTCTCTAAAAATTTTACCTGTTCATGTGAAAAATGGATAGGATAAATCCAAAATAAAAATATTTTTAATGTTTTTTTTTTATATGTTAAATTTGAATTTAGTTTAAAATTATCTAATAATATAAGTAAAAATTATCTATTACTTTAAATTTTGCAATTTTGAAGATAATGCAAACATTGAATTTTGCTATATTCACAAAATCGTAAAATATAGGAACTTTTTTTTCAATATTTTTATCAACTTTATTATATTATAATAAAATAGTGCTATTCTTTTCCTTAATATATATTAAGTCAAATTTAATTTATAATCATAGGATTCTTTTCTTTTAAGATAAGATTATTTTGAAATTCACTGTACATAAATAAGTTTCACTGTATATAAAGATTTAAAAAATATTATTAAAAAATATTTTTTCTTAATATTCGAAAAACCATAACATTTTTTATTAGGTTTCTATTTGAAGATAACAATTTTTATAAATTTTTTTTTTAAATTAAAAATAGAACAACTTCAGAGCGATATATGTCAATAAAAAAAAAAAGATAATAAATCAAATTTTGACTTTATAGGAAAAAATATAATTGTACAATGGATTTGATAAAAATATTAAAAAAAATTTTCTATATTGTTTCTCAAATATATTACAAAATTAATATTTTGTATTCATTTATCTACAAAATCTAAAATAATTTTTATAATTAAATTCAAATTTAACATAAAATTTATCAAAAAATTTTATTTTCATTAATTTGTTTCTTCAGATTGTTTCTTATTTTATCCATCCATTTATAAAATTTATAGAAAAAAAATATTAACTTTATTTAATCTTCTTCTATATTATTAAATAAAGAATACTTTATATAAATATATATGTGAAATTTAAATTTAGATATTGAATTATTGAAAATTGAATTTTTGAAAAATATTAAAAATTATAAGACGCGCTATCATTTTATTCAGAAATCATTTATAATTAAATATAAATTAAACTAAAATAGAATGAAATACATGTATATATAATTATTTATGAATTAATACATTTATGGTAAAATAAATATCGTTCTGCTACGATGTATATTAATATATTTATATTTATGTATATTTAATGATATTATATATACATATTAATGTATATTTAGTGATTATAGATATTTATTTTCTTTAAAGAATCGATTCGAGATTAAAATAAACACAAAAATTGATATACGAAAATATTGATTGAGACTTATTTATTATTAGTTATAAGCAAATTTAAATTTGTATTATATGTATCTATATATATATAGATAAAATGAGATGAAAATAAAATAAAATAAATTAAGATTAATCTTTGTTGTTCGTTGTTTCATTCTATCTTCTTTTTATTTCATAAAATACAAATTTTAATTAATAAATAAATCTCAACTGATATTTTTGTATACTTTTATGTTTTTTTTTCTTTTTTGTTTTTCATTTTCATATAAATCTTTATATATATAAGTATTTTATAATACATATACATATAATCTGTTTTCAAATAATTGCAAGCTAGTCACAAATAAATAAATATTTGTTATGAACTTAATTTATTTCAGATATATCATTTTATATGTATATTTGAAAAGTTACAATAAGAAAGAGTATAGAAGAAATATTTTATATTATAGAATATATTAAAAATATATGAACTTTTATAAATTTCTCTTTTATAAACATTTTCTTACTTTAAACTTTTATAAACTCTTTAACTATACAAAAAAAAAATTCAAAAATATTCGAAATTAAAATTAAAAATTCATAAATATTCAATAATAAATTTAAATAGTAACAAATTATTATAAGCTTCTTAAATAAAGAAATAGATGAATTATTGAATTATATGAATTATATTAATTATTTGAATTTTAGAACATCTAGTATTATATTGTTATTGCATTTTAAATTATTGATAACTGCTAACTATTTAATCTCTATATTATAATGTCATTAATTAATTTGTCATGCTTATGTATTTTTCTCTAGATGAAGTTGTAAATTATTACTTAAAAAAGAAATATAATGTATTCAATTTATAATTTAACGATATACAATAGTATATTATGAGCTAAGTTAAATCTTTATCTTATTAAGATTATCAAATATTTTTCATAATTTATCATAATAAATAAATTATCATAATTTATATTGATATATAATTTAATATTTATATCAATATATCATTATATATTTATATCATTTCAATTTTTGCTTTGTTTTATAATTTAGAACAAAAAGTTTTTTCAAAATGATATAATTGTTTTCAGTAGTTCATTTAAATGAATGTAATATAAAGTTATAATGTGTCATTGCATATAAAAACGAAAAGATACTTGATACATGATAATAATAAAATTTGTAACAATAGAGTAATTTAAGAAGTCAAGGAAGCCTAAATTACACTTTGATACTTATATATCTACTAAAGAATCATATAAAGGATTTTAAACTTTGAATGAATGAATAGATTAAAAATCTTAATGTTAATTAATATATAATATATATAACTTATTTTAATATTTTATATTTTTAAATTTATATAACAATAACAATTTAAATAGTTAGTGACACTTGTTTCTATTCTTTAGACTTTCAAATTCGGCAATTTTTTTTATTACATCGATAATTCCTTTTTTCCAATGTCCAGTTTTTTTGTAATTGTATATAACTAATGGCCATCTTTGCATCGAAAATTTGATATTAGATATTCATTAACCATATAATATATATATAATATATATATACGTATTTTTTATCAATATTTTTTTTAAAAAATTGTAAATATAAAAAGAAATTTATAAAAGAAAAATTTATATTGTTTTTTGTAAACAACATGCTGATTCATATAAATTTTTTATAATTGCACTTTTTTCGTGATCTTCAATTTTTTAAATGAAATACTATAAATTATTTTATATGATATTTAAGAACAAAATATATACTATAGTAATATAGTATAGTATAGTTCTTTATAAAGTTATATATTAAGGTCAGAAATGAGATAAATAATTCAATCATTTCGTAATAATACTGTTCATTAAATTAAATTATTAATTACATGATTAAATTTTGATAATAATAATTTTTTTCTTTTAATAAATAATATATTTCCTATAAAGAAATATTTTTTAATAACATATTTCTTATAAAAAAATATTTCTTAATAACATATTTCTTATAAAAAAAAATTCCTAACTCGCATTTTTTTTTTTGTTGTCTAAAATCACTTTAAGCGAATAAAATTGAGCCAATTGAAAAATTGATTATTTTTCGATTTTATATTATAACTTACAAATTATTATATATATATAAAAGAATATATAATTATTATATATATATATATAAAGAAATAGAGGAAAAGTTTTTGGATAAAAATTATTTCTTTTAATATTACTATTTAGTAAAATATTTATCAATTATTTACGTAATAATTAGAAAAATATTTTAAACAAAATTTATAATTTTTTTTTAAATTCATTTTTTCACAATTCACAACTAATAGTTTCAATAATTATAAAAGAAATTTTTTTTACATTTTTTTTATTGTCTTGTTATATACAATAATCTGGAAAAAGAAATTCTGGATCTCATTGTATATATGATATAAAATATTGTATACGCAAGAGAGATTTCTGAGATTTTCATAATATATATATAATTATCCGATTTGAATCAAGCAAATATTAAGCAAAAAACGAAAAAAAAAAAATATTTATCATATAATAAATTATTAAATATTATGAATTCTATTTTAATTAACAACAAAATGAGTAATG